TTTTACAGCATGTTTTATGTAACAATCAAAGTAAATAAAAGAACTAACATACCATATAAGTAGAAAACACATGCAATTTTCTCTGAATGCCTGGACACCTATTCTAATTTATTCTAAATTATAACTGTTGATCAATTTAAATTAGAAAAAGCATAGCTGGTGCTTCTATTCGCGTTTCTTGAAAATATATCTGAGATTTGGTAATTTTCCCTTTAAAATATGATTAACTTTAATAATGAACTTTTGAAGGGATACCATGCATGGGTAAATACCCATTATTTTGTGAACATTTATAATTGCTCAACTGCTGAGCTGATTTTCACAACCTGATGATCGGACTACCTTAAATGTGATAACTGAGAAAAATTGTCTCTTTAGTTGTTGCTTTCAACGAAATTATTGACTACCAAAATGCCTTTTTTAATGCTCAACGCTTGCAGTTATTTAAGAAATAAAATATCATTTGAAAACTTTTATCGGGATGTAAATACGTATTTACATCCTGATAAAAGTTTGAAAATGATATCTTATTAATGATATTTACATTTGAATTTGATTTACAACGTATATTTATGTGATGACGTTTTAAATCCATTATATGATTTGATTTCTTCAAACGTTTAGATAGTGTTATATAAGGGAAAACATTTGCAAAGGTAAATATTGATAATTTCCTGAAAATAAAGCAGGGATAATTGATAACTTTAATTTAAGTGAATATAAAAGAGAGATAAATGTCATTGAATATAAAAATATGATTATAACGTTACTGTTAAAACTGAAAATAATGATTGTAACTATTTAGAATAAACGATTTCAGCCAAAGGTGATTGTGGACCCCCCCCCCCCCCCAATACACACCCCGAGTCCAAAGATATTTTTGTCTTCTTTCATAAATTATTCTTCTAGCAAACATTTACAATGTTTTCCATATGGTAATTCAAAAAAAAAAAAATGTTTTATAAAAAATTAAATCCGCAGTATTAGAAATGATTTGTGAAAGAAGATAAATAATAATATCCTTGGATCCAGGGTGTATATTCGTTGGGGAGGAGAGAGTCCTGTCGAAAGCAACTGTGATTTCAGCAGGTCTTTTAGTATATTCTGACAATACTTCAACCATAAGAAATAATTTTGTGAAGATGCTCCTTATTGTTCTTTTGTTGTTATATGAGGTTGATCAAAAGTAATGTCACTAATTAATGCTTTAACATCTTTCGAAAGGAAAGTGTATTAAGATTGTATAGAGGTAGTGATATTCTTTTGGATCCACCTTCGTATTATCTACAAAAATTAAAATGCAATGTTCATCACTCGGTAGAAAGTAGATGATACAAATTGAAATTTATCAACATATTTGATGCATAATATTTTTTATCTTATTGCTTTAATACATTACAGCAAGTCATTACACAGAATTTCAAAGATATTCATCTTGTATTTGGTAGATTTTGACACCGACTTAAAAAAAATTGTCAGAATTAAATAAATGTACATTTGTAGTCTGATTAAAAAAAAAAAGAAACTGCAATAGACTGTTTCCTGTATTATCTGCATATTTGTTTAAAATATTTGCACAAGTAATTCATGCATGTTTTCTTAATATATTTATCGTTCAGGCTGCTGAATAAGTTCTGACAAGATGAGCCTGTGTGACTTCGTGGGTGAAAACCATTTAAAGGGTGTGTGTGTGTGTGTGTGTAGTAATTAAACTAGTTCTAATTGTAACGGAGACCGTTACAGATGTTCCCCAAACGCTCCCCATACTTACTTTGGGGCCCCATTCCCTATATTCTTCAACAAATTAAGCAAAACCTTTTTATTATAGACTTTATCAACTTTTTTTCAGAAGTATTTTGAAGAAATAACAATGCAAATATAGCACAGAGAGCATAAGCAAATTGGATTTAATTATCAGTGCAATCACATTTCGAAAATTACCATATATACATGTATGTACAAAATCTGATAGAATGCCATAATAAAAAGCTGCATTTAAATTCAAAGGATTCCAATGAAAACATAGAATGTTCAGCGCACGAGCATGCATGTCCTCATATTCATGTCTCATTGTTGAATAATGTAGGATCTTGTATTATTTATATATACTCTGAATTTCATCGTAATAAATGCTAATTAACAACCTTATCCAATCAGATTTCAGCACACGTGCTTGCGCGTATTTTCTATATTTTTCACATATATAATCTTACAGTGCCATATAACATACTCAGTTCGCCAATGTCATAAATTTCAAAGAATTATATTGAATAGCATTAGAGAGATACAACCTATAAAGCATTAGCCAGTCAGATTTCAGCACCACACGTGCATGCATGTCCTTGCATTCAATTTTGATAGTATCATAATGTAGGAACCCATTATACTTATATATTCTAAATTTCATTCTGTTTTGTTGAAAACTAAAGAAGTTTTAGTTTTAAAGTTTCAGCCAATCAAATTGCAGAACACGTGCACGCTCGTTTTTAAAGAATTTCTGTATATAGTATATTGCAGAACCTTAAAATATATACCTATATCTTAAATTTCAAAGGATTTTGTTAAAAAAAAAAACAAGGAAGATATTAAGATTTTGTTTTAGCCAATCAGTCATTTCATTCATTGCATGCGCATGTATGTGCATGAATGTGTGCGCAAAATGGCCTTCGTTCCGCACATCTTCACAACATTCCTATTTACCCTATGAAGGTTTAATATCAGTCGGATGAGTAGTTTACGAGAACACTCGCGGACAAAAAAGTACCAGTTAAGAAATTAAAAAAAAAAAAAGAAAAGAAAAAAAACCCCAATATGTTCCCAAACTTCGTTTGGGGAACATAATCATATGGACTATAGATATCGACCTTGGTACATGTAGCTCAGTAGTTAGAGCATCTGACTAGTAACACAAGTGACCCGACTTCGATTCCCGGTCCAGGCATATATTTTCTTTACGTATTTATGAGTTTTCAGTGTATATTTATTCATTACTTCTTTCCAGACTACGCATAAGTTCTGTTGCAGTTGCTTTTTATGTACAAAATTAATTACAAAAAATGATCTGGAAGGTTCAATTTTTCCACCGTCAATAGGTAATTCATAATTCGAGAAAATGGTGTTTGAATAATTCATTTCAGTAATTTTTAAGCACTAATTCCCTCTTTAAAGCAACAAATTAAGTTCACATTACTATAGATTACTCATAGTTTTATTTTTCCCCATATCTATATTACAAATTTAGTATTTTACTTTTTTCACCAATTGCAATTAAAAGCTAAGGTTTATGATTTCAGCCTTTTTAATTAACTTATTATGTTTGAATTACGAATGACAGAGGAGTTTCAAAAATGGGGGAGTGTGGCTTAATTTTTTTTTCTGTGACTGTAATTAGTTGAGCAGGTCTTTCATTCATGTTAGCCATCACACTAATTAACATTTCAGTTATGAATAACATGTAAACTATAATTGGACGAAGTGAATATTCTATACCAAAAGAAAAATAAAATACAAAAAGCTAAAATTTAGAAACGAAACAATAATAATGAAAAGAAATTTATCGAAAATTATTATTATTATTCTATAATTATTATCATTCTACTTTTATATAGCGCCTTATCTAATTATACAATTATCCTAAAGCGCTTTACATGTAAAACAAGTACAATATAAAAAAGAAGAATAGTAAATAAATCATAGGACATAAAAATAATACCAGACTAAATTTAAAGGAAAAGGTGTATTTTTTAAAAGAATTATTTTTTTTTTTAAATTCAGTTTTATAGTAACAGCGTTTCCGTCTGTTCCTTCAATTAAAAAAATACGTACACTGTATGAATGTCCACATATCGGTTTCAACAATAACTTTGTAAACAACATTTAGCATATGTTGATCAATTATTTTGATTGAAATAAAGAATAAAAAAGAAAATTAAAAAAGGATATATTAATCACAAAAACATCCGGCAGTAACGTAACATGAAGAGGCAACATTTGTACATAAAGAGAATTTTTATGAAATGCATATATGATTTATGATTCAGATAACCATGTTTTGCCGACAATCTCGGTTACTTGTTTATTTTCTAGTCGGAAAAATAAAGCGTAGAAAATCAATAATGTTATCTAGTCTAGAATTTTTCCGTAAAAATTTTCAGCCTTTTCCGTCAAGACTCGACGAATAAGGCTGAGTGATCTTCTAACTACATTTTCATTTCAAATATAAAAGAAGTGGCACCTCTTATTTTGAATTAGTCTGAACATATCCTTTGGGAATATCTGCCTGACCTTAAAAATTGTTGTTATACATGAACTAGGTATTGCTGCAAACAATCAAAATTCTACTTAAGAGTTATAACAGATTGTAATACAACGACTATATATCATATAACAAAGAACTAAGTAATTATATTTTTCTTGATTTTTTTCACAACATATATTTCTTTATTCTTTTATTTCCCGTTAATATTAATGAATATATAGATATTATCACTACCTTATTTTTATGAATAACGAGGAAAACCATTCTGTATCTTTACATCCCCTTCCTTCTTTCTTCTCTCCGTGCACTCCTTTTCCCCTCCTTTCTAAATTCTCTGCACCTTTTTCTTCCTTCTTTTTTGTATTGCACACTTGTTGGTTGTACATCACGTGTATATGTTTTTGTCATTTTCTTTGTGTTGGAGAGGACAATCTAAGTTGGAATAACTTGTGTCCAATCCCATTGATTATGTATCAATATAATATGTTTAAATCAACCTTCTTCGGCATATTTAGAATTGTGCTTAATATCGATATGTAATGAATATTCCCTGTTTCGGCATTTTCAAAACTGTGCATGTATAATGATATATTATTATTTATGTATTAAGTCATATGTAAGACTGTCTTACATGCATCGAGAATCCCTTATATCTTCAGAAATATATATTTTCATGCCCAGAATGATACGAGTAGGCGGCATGTATATGTAGTTTATTGCACATTTTTGTTCATAGATGAAAATGACCCCAAGAAGCACTGTGGTTGCCTTTCTACTATTGGTAATACAGTTCATAGGAATAGCTAACACACAACGTAAGTGAAAAATATTTTTCTTACATTCTTGGGAAAAGAGGATATCCAATTCATTTCACGAGTGAGCTAGGATAATTATTATTTACACGAGTGTGAAGTACGAGAACATTCAACAGCATTGAAATTTTTGTTTATTTCATTGGCTTTAGTGCTGTCATGTGGTAGTGTTTTGCATATGAATGTGTTCAAGTAATTTTTCACCGTGTAAATACAATTGCAACTTCTTGGGCCTTTCCGACAAGCGCAAAGAAAAAAAACTTCGAATGTGTTATGTAAGCTTCCATGACAAGCCCCCTTTTACATAAACATTGAAATATATGTAGAAAGACCTCTTATATCTCTACAGTCTGGAGTTTAACTTTATTGAATGTAAAGATATTACCTTAAATACGCTTCAGAAGGGGCACTCAACTCTGTCTATCCAATACTTTTATAAATAGGAAGCGGCTCTATTTCGTATAAGATTTTAACATCGGGTTCTGTAAATACATTCCAGGTGTTTTTCCGAGCTTGCCGGAAAGGCCCGAAAAGATGCGATTGCGTGCAAATACAGTAAATCATGATTACAGAGAACAAATTTAACAAGAATTCACGCATACAGTCAAGTGATTTTTTCATGTTATCAGCTATAATGAATAACGTCTATAACAAATGAAAATTCGTCCCTAGCATTTTGCAATAAAAATTTTATACAGTACATATAGGAATGACAAAAATGTTGGAAAAAAAATGCTTCGAGAAAATTTTAAAGTTAATTTATTGTCTAAATTTACACATGGGAGTAAGGATAGTAAACAAGCAATCGTTTAAATGCTTCATAAAAATTAAAAACAGTGATTATGAAAGAAGACCCCTGAATATTAAAAAAGTTGTGAAGAACAAAAACACATAAATGTTTGAATTCCTTAGAATTTTATAATCTGTCACATATTTATTTATATCTTCTTGTTTTTATTCGTATTTTATATCCTTCTCTTTCTACGAATTAAGAAGATAACGAACAGTATTCAATCTCGAAAGTCCAATGAAACGATACAATTTTGGAGCAGAGCAAACACGGACCTCAAAATTTAGAGGTGGGAACAGGTGCCATGGAGGAGTGAGCATCCCCTGCCAACCGGTCACACCCACCGTGTGCTCCTTGTCATGATCGGGGAAAAAAACCGGAAAAATCCGTAGACAGTATAAATAATGGCCTAACAATTAGTATGAAAAACGTTAGTCAGTATTAGATAAGACTCAATGATAGGTTGTGTGTGCTGACAAGGTCATTGTATCGACCATAAAACTTGCGAAATGATGACTTCAAACGGGACTGTTGATATTCTTGTTTCACCAACTTGTTTGTCAATAGCTTGCCTCGTTTTAGAAACTGTTCATAGAGCATGCTCTTGCGTATCGAATCGATTGAGAGACATAAACCTCATATGCAGGTAATAAGAGTATACTACTACATAAGTAAGGAAAGTTAACGATTGAAAAGTTGAAGTCATCACGTTTATCATAAAGTTTTGTTGTTAGATTACCATTAACGTCTTTTTCTAGTAAAATATCTAAATATGAAACAGATGTGTCAGACTTTGTGGTATCTTTTATTTTATTTTATTTATTTTATTATTCATTTTTCCAGCGACTCCACTGCAATGTGGCTCAACCACCGTAACATTAAACCAGCTCTATGAAACGTACAAGTATCCAAATTCCGGTTTATATCCCCAGTGAGTAAACGATTTATTTTACTGTTTATCCAAAAAGTAAATATGAAGCATGTTTGCTTTCTTTTTTAAATCATTTAAAATATTTTTTTCATTAGTCCTGTTACATTTAATCACGTACTGTCATATATGATGCATAAATGTTTTAAACGTGAAATGATATTAATCAGAATTAATATTTATTCACTTGTCACTTTCATTGTGAATAGATCTTTGTTTTCAGGTTGACATCATGCAACTGGCCTTTTCAAGCAGCTGATCCAAGCAACAGAATAACATTCGAAGTAAAGGGGATTTTTGTTGATTGTGGCGACACACTCAAGTTCTATGATGGTAAGAGATTTGAAAAAAAAAACTTTTTTCAAGGAAAAACGATGTCAAATTGGTAGTTTAGCGAGTGTAGTTTTTTTTTTCAACTTTAAACGTATATAGCTGTTAGATAAATGAAATTATAAATTCATCCACCACAGGTAGGATGGAAGAGGAGTAAAGTGTCCGAGAACATGAGAAATAATCTTGTTAAAACTGAAAATAATGGTCATAAATATTTAGATAATTTGAGCATATTTTTTTTATATATTCTGAAAATACAAAGCTGTACTATAAACCTTAGGCCCTCTCAATGCTTCACTATGGCTATTTCAGACAAATCCTTGACATCATTCGACACTTTAATTTGTACAAAGCACTTATAAAAGAATATTGGAAAAATTGAGAATCCCACGACATTTGAAAGTCAAAAAGTGTTTACAACTTACCATTATTAGTTGTAGATTGCTCTCAAGTATATCTAATTTCACCTTATACAAGAACCTCAAGTATATCATTTCTATATTTTCTGCAATATTCATCCATTCCATCATTTATTCAAACATGTGTACTTTTACTTTGAAATGAAAGTAGTAAATCAGCCAATCGGGCAATGCAAATACTTTTTTCAGTATTTTTCACTATTCCGTATAATAACTAGATTGTTCCAGGGAACGTATGTGTCGCCTGCTTTGTAGCTTCATTAAAGATGTAAATAAATCTAAAAGTGGTAAGCTTTTTACTTGCTATTAGTTCATGCATTTTCCTGCAAAGAAAAAAAACAAGAGGTCCATGGGCCACTTTGCTCACCTGAGCATATTGGGTAGGAAAAAGTAATATATAAGTAATCGTAAATAACCTCCGCTCCCCAAACGGGACAAGATTTGTTCAAACTTGAATTCACACTGAGGATTCTTCCATATTTGACTAATCATGCCTTTAAAAGATTTTTTCTAAAGTTAGATCTTCTATTGTGCCCCCGACCTACCCCTGGGCAACATGGTTTGAACAAATTTGAATCTACACTACCTAAGGATGCTTCTGAATTAATATGACTTATCATAGATTTGCTATTCTGGGGAAAAGATTTTTAACGATTTATCATATGTATTCACATATAAAACTTAAATCGCCAAAATTTGGCCCCTCCTTACCCCTCGGGGTCATGATTGAACAAACTTGAATATAAACTACCCAAGGATGCTTCCACGAGTTCTTGAGATGAAGATTTTTCTTATGTATACCTGTGTAAAACTTTGATTGCCATTGCGGCCCCTTCCTACCCCCAGGTGTCATAGTTTGAAAAAAAAAAATCAACTTGAATTTACACTACCTGAGGATGCTTCCATATAAATATGATCAATCATGGCTTGACTGTTCTTGATAAGAAGTTTTTTTTAAAAAATTCCTATATAATCCTATGTAAAATTTTGATTGCTCATTGTGACCCCACCCAAGCTCCGGGGTCATTATTTGAACAAATTTGAAACTACACTACGAAAGGATGCATCCATATAAATACATGTATCATAATCATGGCTTGACTGTTCTTGAGAAGAATATTTTTAAAGATTTTTCCTGTTTTCCTATGTAAAACTTTGATCGCCCATTGTGGCCCCACTCTATCCCCAGGGGACATGATTTGAACAAATTTAAATATACACTATGTCAGAAATATTTCACGTTTTATCTTTATTTAGCCCATTGGTTCTCGAGAAGAAGATTTTTAAATGACCCAACTCAATTTTTACTTTTTCTTAATTACCTCCCCTTGGAAGAGGATGTGGCTCTTCATTTGAACAAATTTGAATCCTCTTTACCCAAGGATACTCTGTTATATACAGTTAAAATTGACACCGTCGGTTGACAATTGCTTTACATTTTGAATGCTACCCTCCAAAACGTGCACTTTTTAATTAAATTTAATTAAAATTACCTGAATGATAATATAGACTGTTTAATAATAGTGAATGATATAGCGAATGATATACCTGACCCATAACAATACGAAAATAGGTGGATCAATAAGATCTAATGCGTTTTCATTAGGACAGAACTGTGTGCAATGTTTATCTGTACGTTTGCTAATTTCTAATGGTTGTAACTTTATAGTTTAATCCATATACAGGGTCATCTTCGAGTGCTCAAGCACTTACTACAAGTGTGTGTTGCTCGAGTAGCAGCTCCTGTGGTTCATCAAGACCACCACAAACCACCACCGGAAGTAATATATTTGTGGAATTTCAATCTGATGGAACACAAAATTCTTATGAGAATGGATTTCAAGTATCCTTTTTAACTGGAAAGGATGAATGTAAGGAATTGACTGACACACATCAATTTTACACGAGTGTACTTTTAAGCAAGGTTTTAGCTCACCTCGACGAAATCGAGACTGAAGTGTTTGAAAAAAGTCCATTTCCAAAGTAATTATTAGTCAATCTTAAGAGATACGTACAACCAGTCATGTAGCATGTATCAAGACTTTTATAAGTTATAAGTTAAAAGCCCATTCTTAGATGATGTAGTTAGATGATGTAGCTAGGTATGTATACTGCATGGCAAGACTTGCTTTTGAAGCTGCATGTGACCCATATTTGTTGATGAGTAATCAGGTTAATTTTTTTTCTGTAATATTTTTTAAAACTGGCCAAATCCAAAGTACCTGTAAGCAGTACTTGAACTATACTTGACTTGATGGTGAATCTAATTATGCAGACTACAAGGCTTATTTGGCATTGGATGCTGCATTAGACCTGCTGCTTTAATCCTGGATGAGTGATTTAAAGCAAGTCAACTATCAAGAAATAATTAGCCCAATAGCAACCGGACTTAAAAGGGGATGAATCTAAGGCACAATACCAAAATTGCTTCGGATGCTGTGTCCAATATATATATATATATATATATATATATATATATATATATATATATATATATATATATATATATATATATATATGAGTGACTAATTCAAAGTTCTTTTCCTGGAGAAAGTCTATTCAAAACAATATATTAACTCAACTTTGATCAAACATATATGAATGATTTATCTAAATATATATTCAATAACTACTAGAGGATGTTGCATGTGGCATATATTTTAGTGTAATGGAAGGCACTGAATGTAGGATTTTCGATGTCATTGATAGTTCTTACTCTTCATTTTCTTTGATACTTTGCTTTCCTATAGACAACTATCCTCGAGGTGAGCTCAGTTTCTGATTTCCTATGCTTTGATCATGATCTTCTGAAAGAACTTTGCCAAATCTGCTGTTTGTCATCTACTATTTACGAATTCGTAAAATGCGTAAATATAATAGCAAAATATATTTGATATTGCGTAAATATAATAACAAAATATATTTGATATTGCGTAAATATAATTTAAAAAATGGGAGAAATACTGGCAGAGCTTACTGATACAGTCCAATAGTCCTTGACCTATATATTAATTTTAGATGCACTGAAATAAGTGCATGCATAGTCTATAAGTAAATTTATAAGATAATATTGAAATACTTCAACATATTGTAATGGTAACAAAGTATGGAGAATTCTCCTCATTTCTTTTTCAGCCAATTGTGCAGTGTCAGGAGCAAACAACCTTGTTACACTGACTACCCAAACACCCTTGACATCTCCAAATTTTCCCGCCAAGTATCCACTGTAAGAATATATTACTTTAGTCCAAGTTCACCTGAACTGAATATGTATTTGCTAAAACGTAGTATGAGTGTATGTATACAATGCTTCAGTTCCAATTAATCATTCCTATTACCATTCTTGAATTTTACTGATGTCTGCATCAGTAACGTATCTTTACTTTGCAATTCGTATACAACTGCAACGCTGAGATTTTCTCTTAATGATGTCGCGAAGTCTTTCGTACATTATAAACCATGTTCCATAGCTGCCAGAATATGGTTGGAATATACAAGTTAGACTCGGAATTTTGGCACTAGTATACATTAGTTCACAGGTAGATCGAATCACTTCCATCTGCAGAATAAGCCAAAACACCTACTTTTCCATTGCTTCTGTAGCATGACACATATCTAGGATCACTTTTTAGCTCAGTGAGCCAAAGACTCAAGAGATTTTTTTTTCCGATCGAAGAGCGTTTGGCGTCCGTCTGTCCTCCGACTATAATGTCTCGTGTTTCGCGGTTTATAAAGCGTAAACTGCCTCAACCTAATTTATACTGTATAAATTGGGTAGCTTTTAAATTCATTCCTTAAATACATAGATATTTAAAAAAAAATTCTCAAGGACAACAAGCCAAAATTTATTCATATTAAAAAGCTTTTATTCTTACGTTGTATAGAATCTAGGTTTTGAATCATGTGCCCTGAGGAAGGGTGGGGCCACAATTTGGATCAAAGTTTTACATGGAATCATATATGGAATTTGTTCACAATCTCTTTTCAAAAACAGCAGTGTCTTGTTTAGATTAATATGCAATCATTCTCAGATAGTTCAGATTAAAGTTTGTTCAAGTCATGTCCTTGTGGGTTAGGGAGTGGCCACAATAGGAAATCGGTATATGAAAAGGAAATTAATAAAGATTATATTTTTAAAAAAGTAAAAAATAGCGGGGTCAAACTAGATCAGATCCACAAGGAACCATTCGAAAATTGTGGGGATTCATTTTTTTTGGTTCAAATTATGGTTCTAGGGATAGGGTAAGGCAAAAATCAGTGAGCAGTTTTTACCTAATGAATCTTCCACAGAACAACAATAAAGACTATGTAAGTCATAATGATTTTGAAGCTTCCACAGGATGTGTTGTTTCAAATTAGGTTATGTCATAGGTTAGGTAATGTCATAGGTTAGGTCATGTCATAGGTTGGGTTATGTCGTCTTTTGGGGCTTGAATTGGGCCAAAATATGGCGTTAAGATTTTTTTCATGTGAATAAGAAAACCCCTTTTCTGTAAAAATAATCTCCTTTCTTAGGAAAAAATGACATGGGTGTTTTTTAATATTCGTGATTTTTTTTTTACAATTGCTTCCTCATTAGGATCACTTACCATTAAAAGTTGTTTAATGCCACATGCGGCGGAAAAAATCATGAAAAGATTTTTGTTTTTGTTTGTTGTTTTTTTCTGCTATGTTACCCGAGCAATCCTGGATTCCTGGAATAATGTTCCAATGTTAAGGTATTGTTTACGAAAAAAAAAAACCTTGTCCTATTAAAATGATACACATTGTATAAAATATAATTACATGGAAAAATATTTTGTTTATGGATTACCCTAGGCAATATGAGTGTTCGCTTTTTTTTCACCAAATTCCTGGTCGTGGAAATCAGACAAAATTAGGAAAAATTACGTTTTTATACAAAAATGTATTTTGGCCGACCTTGTTGAAATCAGACAATCTGTTTGTTTGTTTAACATCCCTTCGAGAATATTCACTCATATTGAGATGACACCACTTGCCGGAGGAGGGCTGCAAATTTAGACCTGTTTTCGGCACTTACAGCCTTTGAACAGTGAGGGATCTTTTTCGTGCCAGCACCTACTGTGACACGGGACCTCGGTTTAAACGGTCTCATCCGAAGGACCGGTCTCCACGTCCCGCTGTGGGATTCGAACCCCAATGTAAGGGTCATCTTTTCACTTCGCGTTTCTAGAACAAACTCTCTAACCACTGTGCCACGCAGGCGACAAAATAATGAAGTTATGAGAACTGCAATTATAATGAAATAAATATATATTTCATTTTATTTTTAATCAAGATATTCTGTATATAGTGTATGGTTGATGCATAAACTTAATCTGTTCTCTTAAAGCAAACAAACAAAACCCAAATAAATAAATAAATAAATAAAAAAATTGATAATAAAAAGGTGCATATATATATATATTTTTTTTTTGAAAAAAAAAATCCGTGGAAAATAGGGCAAGCAAGTGTGTGAATGTTTAATCACGTGCAACTCAATTTAAATGTATAATGCATTGAAAACTCTCTGTATTTTGTATTAGTTTTTAACATTTCAGGAATTTCGATTGTACGAATACGTACACAAATCTAGGCGGCACAGTTACAGTTCAGTTGAAGTATCTTGATGTTGAGGAAGACACCAGTAGCCCCGGTGCTTGTTTTGATTATGTGGAGATTTTTGATGGTAAATACATTGCTAAAAAAATCTTAAGAATTGACTAGAGTGGGTTAACTACACTGCTGATTCCTACATATACATGTATACCAGGGATTTATTATCTCGTAATGTCATGAGAAGAAACAGTTGAGAAACAAACTACATAACAGTTATTTTTATAATGCTGTAAAACATGTACAATGTAAAAAAAACAGTCCACTGTACAATTTCTCGCGATTTCCCGCCTTACAGTAATTTTGCTATATGAATTAAGTACTTGCCTAAAATAATCTACAGTAAATTCGTATTTTGCAATTGTATTATATATTTGAAATTTTTTTTCATTCAAAAATAGGAGTTTCGACCATTTCCTCCTCAATAGCAAAACTTTGTGGAACCACTGCTCCCACCCAGTCGTACACATCCACAGGGGAAAGCCTTACCATAAAGTTTGAAAGTGATAACCAGGTGGCAAAAATTGGATTTTATGCTGATGTAGCCCCTGTCGGTAGGTCCTTCAGTAATTTGTTTTACATTGTATCAATCTGGATCATATTTTAGTGGTGAGCTATTTAATTACACTGTAATGTGTCTGAGCAAAAAAAAAAAAATGTTGAAAATAAATTTAAGTAAAACCAAAGCTTTATATTTAATGAAGGAATTGAGAATTTCACCTGGAAAAATCAAACTTTTTGTCAATGTAAACCACATTTTCAAAGTTCAAGGTATAGGTTTTCCTAACTTTGAAACTGAAGGACTCCGCTCCTCAATTTTCAATTCACGCATAATTGGTTCCTTCACGGGCCTTTAGTTACTTATTACATTATTTACACAGTGATTTTTCTATTATTATTTTCTATTATTACACGGCGATGTGAGCGGTTGGCAGGGGATGCTCACTCCTCCATGGCACCTGATCCCATCTCTAATTTTTAAAGGTCTGTGTTTGCTCTGCTCCTGATTTGTATTGTTTGAATGGGGTTTTGAGCCTGAAAACTGTTCGTTATATTTCACTTTAATCCGATTTTTAAAAAAATGTGGTGTTGAAAAAGATAAAGGTATGGGACTCTTTACAAAGGGTATCGCCAATGAAATACTTTAAAATCAAATGTTCTGAACTTTTACCTGCAAGTCATATCTATTCACATATAGACAATCTTCATTACCATTTAATATCATTCCGAAATTCTGTATACGTCCCGAGATTTGCTGAAATCAATTCCCAAATTGACCTATTTTTTTTAATCGAATTTCGCTTAGGCCCCTAATCATTCGCATGTTTGAACTCCAATGAACAGTTGCATAGTATCTACACAAGCTATCAACATTTTAAAGATGAGATTTTAAACTCCAGATCGTAAGATTAAGTCTGTAATAATCCCTTTCAAGAAAAAAAAAAAAACATTACAAAACATCTGCTTCTATAGCTTCTACAGCTGTACAGCTGTGTCGTTTACTGACGTAAAAAGAGCTAAAATTAAACGAAATTTTCACAGAATGTATTAGATATATACATTTAGATTTTTTAGAAATTATACCTCTAAAATGTTGTTGGGTAACTTAGTAAGATAATTAAAATCAAATAAAATTTTGTAGAGACTGGGTGCTAATAAGCAAATATTCAGAAAGTATAGAATAAACTACTTGAAAAATTCATCCCGCCGTTTCCACTTTAAAAATAGTGTAAATGATGAGACAAAAGCGAATTTCGGAGGTATAAAATTCCGGAGTGAACTTGGGTAGTAACCCAGTTTGCACAACAACGTTATTAAAACGTTATAAAAACGTTGTGAAAATGTTATGAAAACATTTTTAGAAACGGTATTACAACGTTATTTTGTGTGGTTTTTTAAACGTTATTATAACGTTTTTCAAAAACATTGTACTGTAATGTTTTGAAAACATTTTAAAAACGTTTTGAAAACATTTCAAAAAATCGTTTTTAAAACATTTAAAAATCAATTTTACAACATAGCAAACAATGTATTTCTTACAATTTTAATACATTTAAATCCATTATTAATGTTACCGAAAAACTGCTTTTTTTAACACTTGCACAATAAAATGAGAATCTTCCTTCAAATGAAATTTGTACTGTTTGAAATATGAAAAGATCACAGTATCCCTATTCCATTAGAAATTTGTCTGTTTTGCACTTGGACTTTTCTATTTTCTTCTGAAAAACAAGATTTGGACATAAAACTTTAATTGACTGAATGATTACCCATCCATGCTCTTACATTTCTTTTTAGTAAAACATATCCATATATTAGGGCATCTGACAACTACACATACAACTGATGTGTAAATATCTATATATTTCTGACAATAAACTCCAAACATAGCTTAACATATTAATATGTTCCTCCAGGAAGGTATGGAGCAAACATTTTTCGTCTCACCTTTCATTTAATCCTAAGAGATTGTCTTTGATGTATTGTAAGGCCTATCAGCAGCAGCTATTAAAATGTAAAATGATATTAATTATAAGAAATGTAAATAAGTAAATGTATATACATATTTGATAGTTACATATCAACAACACAGCATTTCCAGTATTTAGATCATTTTCTTTTTGCTTTATACAATTTCTTTGGAGCTATAATTTAAGTTGATATGTAAACAGAATCTTGATGCATCTTCTTAGCGTAAATTAATGGTGTTTAAACTTACTTTTGATACATCTTTAAAAGGGTGCAATTTTCCCCCTCTCTCAATTCTCAGTGAACTGACCCATGGAATGTGTTTATATTATTGTCCTGCATAACTCCACCCTGCGTTGAAACCATTGCATTCATCTAAAATGAGTGTTATATTTTATCATGAAGAATGTGGAATTGTGGATTTCAAAATCTTTAACTGCTATCAAATACATAACCAAGCCATGACTTAATTGCAACCTGTCCTTTCCCTTCTAAAAGAAAATAAACTTAACATGGCATTGTATTCTTTAATAACACAAATTCTGAAAAATCTAACATCATTTACATCTCTTAAGAATTATTTAACCCTGTCTTGTTAAGACCCCCTCCCATCCCTACACCAAACCCTTACTATGTTTTAATCAAGTTTTGAAACCCATCACATATTTTAGTACATGTAAATAAAACCCAATTTTCAAACAAGAAATAGCCCGCCTAATTCAAATATCAATGAACTTTATAAATCAACTCTACAAACATATATTCACCTAAGTCTATGAGAATGAAAGATCTAAGATTCTAAATGTGTATGTATTTACAGCTACAATATGATTGCTAAATATACAGAATGAAAACTATATTAAATTTAACAAACCATATGCTGACATTTGTAAGATAATCCCCAAATCCCTTTCATTGTCTTACAAGAATGCAGCTGGGCTTTTCAAAACTTTCTGTTGACCTATATAGATCACGTGGAAATAGTTTGCAACAAGGATCGGCTGCATCTGCCCTGGCTATGGCATCCCGCTGTGTCACTCAATTTACTCTCGATAGACACATTATTGAAGGGGAAACTTAGTTCCCATAGCACAAGTAAACGAATCCACTGAATTATGTATTTTATTCAGGAACTCTGTTGAACAAATAATTTTTTAGAAAAAAAAAAAAATTTTTACTGCCTTTGTTATAGATAATTTTTTTCTCGATAGTATTAGAGACATACATGAAAGTATTCCCCTATTTTTGTCTAAATTTTATTATCACAACTCAAAATCAATCATACATGTAACTCAAACTAGATGCTGTCATGAGACAGTAATACCCGCACTAAGGTGTTTGCCTCTAAATGCACACTCCTTCATATTGGGCTTACCAAGGAAAAAGTCAAAATAATTCTTAAATGTACACATGTATTCGTCAATTCGAGCATAAAATGCTCAGATGACCATGTGACCTATGAGCCTCTTATAGGTATTTCCTTTACTTAATTCATTACCAGTCTGAAATAACATAATTTAATTAATGTTGTAAATTAGGTTTTGATAAAAGGGGGATATAAATTTTTGGCCAATATTTGGAACTTTTTAAATTTATTTTCTCAACAACAAATAATATTATTTTACTACAAAGCTTTTTTGATGAATTTATCAAAATGTGCAAATGTTTTTTTAGTATTTGATTAGGCAAAAACCTCCTTGAAAAGTATGGAACGCCAAATTAACATAAATTCAAATATTTGAACCTATCTTCAATTAATTATACCTATCTTCAAATCAATTGTACCTATCTTCAAATCAATTGTACCTATCTCCAAATGAATTAAAGAAAGGTTTAATTCAATTATACCTATCTTTAATTCATTTGAAGATAGGTACAATTGATTTGAAGATAGGTACAATTGATTTGAAGATAGGTGCAAATGCCATGAATTAAAGATAGGTATAATTGATTTAAAGATAGGTGCAATTGAATTGAACCTATCTTTAATTATAAAGATACTGACAATAACTACTACTCCCCATAAAAATACACTGTGCAGTTCCCTCCATGTTCAAATCGCTGTTAGAGGGAGCTATCATTATTTTGAATAACACAAAACGAATTGAACATAGGTATAATTGAATTGTACCTATCTTCAAATCGTTTGTGGATATGTTACAATTGTACCTATCTTCAATTCAATTGTACCTATCATTAAATCAATCGTACCTATCTTCAAATGAATTGAAGATAGGTATAATTCAATTGAACCTATCTTTAAGGAAGCGATTGCAAGGCGTCACGTGATCGATTCATGTGATGTTTAAAAAAAGATTTACGGTAACCATTTCCGGAATAACAGCTGAATAAGGAGCGTGATTATGATTACGCCCATGACAAAAAAGCAGAGAAAGAATAATATAAAGATGTGATGTTGCAGAGTGTTTGTGAGCGTCGACGCAGACTTTTTTTTATCCCTGTGTTTTTTTTTTGTTTTGACACGTCTACCTTTTGTCGTAGTTCTGAACACTGAAATCTATTTCATGAATAAATTTAATTCATATCTGGATCTTTGTGTCCTCTAGTATTTTTTAAAATATTAGAATTTTATTTGAGATCGGCTTCTTTCCTATAGGATCTACATCTATGAATAGATATTCATTTCCTAGAAGCTTCAGACGGCGTGATTTTCTCAGTGATTTTAATGAATATAGGCCAATATGGATGGACAGATTAACGAATGCGATTTTCATATATACGTGTATAGACCAGTTTGAGGTCTCATGCTGGACATGAACGTATTTTTAAAAATATCGCAGAGGAAATTGTTTTCCTCTGTAAGATTTTCTCTAGCATTTTCAACTCTTACGTCGACCATGTAAACATTGAATCGTCGGCACATTATTGCGTAAATATTTCTTGTGATAAAATGTTTTATGCGTCGTATTTGGTAAAAAATTGAAACTTAACACACTTCTTCTGACAGAAAAGAAAAGTTTCTTTTTGCAAGTTTTCACAAATCTAGCAAAAAATACGCGAGTAAGAATGACAGACGAAACAAAGAGAGGTTAATTCTGACAATCGAGGTACTACGGAGGTACCA